TCTTAGTGGAACCAAGAGCTCTTTTTGGAGTCAAGGCCAGCTCAACAGAAAGGAAAACATGCCTGTTACTGGAAACCTAGCCAACTACGGGATGCTAGAAGTTCATGATCTCAGAGGAAAATATACTAACATCAGTTTGCAAGACCAGCATGATTCCTAACTGCATTGTAAACACTGGTCCTCATACCCACAGGAAAGTGCAGCTCCCACCCCACACCAAAGAAGCTTCCCTTGCAGCAGGCAGAGACAGAGCATCACAGACATCTACAACTGATCATGGGGTGCCCAGCCCAACTGGATACATCTACAACACAACTCCAGCAGCTCAGGGAACATAACAGAAGAGGAGACAGAAAGATTGCTAAGAGTCAGAACGCTAGGAACTTGGCTATGGGGCCGTGTCTCCTAGAAATGACAGCAAGGCTACACTCGTGACAACCACAAAGACCTGGACGCTGACAATATTAATAGACATGCTAATATGCAAGGAAAAAAATCTCACGCGTCCCCACCCCCAGGCAGTGAAGGACTGCTGAAAGAGGGAGACTTAGTCATCCCCCAGAGATGTCCCCCATTAGTTACCCAATGGCAGATGGCCAGTCCGGAAGTCAGTATATGCATACAGGCAACACTAGACAGACTCAGTGGACTGTATTAGACAGAAAAGGGATTGTCATATTTTCTTGGAGAGATTCAGATGACAAAAGAGATGGGTAAGGTGGGTGCTTAAGAGACAAATGGGCCTTGGACTAAGTTAGAATTCCTTCTTCTGTAAATTTTCTAAGTGTGAACTACAGTGTATAAGTTAATTTGCCCCCAAATAAATACAACATGGATGTCAATAACACACTACAAATCCAGCAAGTTTTGATGAGCCCTGATCAAGGCCTAAACTCTGAGCACCCCTTCTCATAGAAGATAGTCAAGTCCCACCAGGGAAATTCTCTCCTGCTCACTTGTGGTCCCTACCTGCAATTTGAACTATTACCACTAGAGGGCAGCTCCCACCGCAGGAGGTTTACTCAGTGACAAGGAACTCCAAGACAGCAAAATCCTGCTTTAGGATAAGGGAAGTCCTAAATAGCTGAAAACATCCTACTGCCAGCTCAGATTTGCAAGAGACATGCATACAAAGCCTGTCTATTTATGGACAACTAGGTCTCTGGACCCAAACCCCTCATATGCAACTAAACTGTTAGGTATCATCTTTCCTTGTGGCACTCAGGCCTGACAACGATCTAACTAGGCAAGTCAGAGTAGCCAGAGTGCTGCAGGACTTCAGCAGAGAGCACAGCACCACACCCAACATGGAAACCCTTCAGACTTGCTTAGAAGAGGGGCTGCATCTTCCCTGAGCCCCAGCCTATTCTTCCGGAGACTGGCTGGCCACCGTCTTCCTGAGACAAAGCTGGGATTTCTGGCAGCTGCTTCTTCCTCCAGTTCTCTGAATATCTGGCCATGGTACTAATTTTGAATTATTCCTACAGACCCTTATCTTCGCCTGTCTCATTTCTTCCTGCCATCATGTGAGGGACCACAAAGGCATCCTATCAGGTTCCACTGCGTTCAGGGTACCACATTACAACTCACTCATTAGGTAATTGCCAGTGAGCTTGTTAAATATTGAATTCTTTCCTCTCCCTTCTCGGGATAAAGGTGCTCAATGGTTCTGTTGGATGGATAAGGGCTCCTTGCCCCTGCTTGCAGAATCGCCCCTTAGGCAGTGTCTTTGTCCATCCCCCGCTCTGACCCACACTTGCTTGCCAGTGTCCTCTGTTTTTAAGATTCAGTTCACCCTTCACTTCCCCAAGGAACAATCTTTTATGTTCCCTTCATTTACTTCCATTACAGCCCTCTGAGATCATAACCATGTTTCCTTTTCTCTTGGAGAAACTATCATTCATTTGTTTCCTGTGCGAAGCCGAATTTTGGTTCATAATAGAAAATCATTCATGTTCATTAAATAGTAATTTTATGTCTAAAGATCTCCAGGAGTCTGTGTGGTTATCCTTGGTGACTAAATTTAGGAATGTAATCTAAAGGCTTTTAGCAAGGCGGAGAAGGGCAAGGCTTGCCAGGGTCACAGGTTTCCGGAGGGTTAATGTCCCTTCACACACGATGTCTCTCAGCCTGATCGATCCACAGCTGCCTTTCATCCTAGCGCTTTATTGATGAATGAGTACAAGAAGAAAATATTGAGAGGATCCGTGAAGTTTGTCACCTCCCTTCCACCTCCAGGTCCTGGGAAAGACTTTTTGTCTAGGACCTTCTTGTTCTATATGTACCCCGACGTGAATCTGGGTCTCCCGTGGCCAGGTTCTATGGAATGTTCCTTCTCCTTACATCATTCCCTTCCAATGGAAACATTGCCGCAAGAAAGCACAGGAGGCTCATGAGCCTCAGGAGGCAAATAGGAGGAGAAAATGGAAATGTGAACCTTGGGTGTCCCTCAGCAATATAAAAGAAAAAAAAAGTAAATGGTTGCTAGGAGGTGGACACTTTCTGGTGAAGCTCCTGCTTTTGAGTCCTCCCTGCTTCTTCTGGAACCCTTACCCCCAAATCCTGCTAGCAAACCAATAAAAACTCACTGGGTCACAAAATAGACATTGCAGCAATTGGTATTTTGATATATTGTGGACTCCCTTTCTGGGGTGACCCAGGGTTGTATCTCCCAGGGAAAGTCACCTCACATCAGGCCCACTCTGCTGGGATTTCTAGTCAGGCAAAATTACACCTAAGTCCAAAAATTGTGGTAAACAAATCTATTTTTACTATAGGTTTCCTTAGAGCAGTCAGGGTTTGGAGCACGTGCCTTTGGGTTTTAAAAACCTGTTATACGAGCTGGATGGTGGCACCACATGCCTTTAATTCCAGCACTCAGGAGGCAGAGGCAGGCGGATCTCTGTGAGTTTGAGGCCAGTCTGGTCTACAAGAGCTAGTTCCAGGACAGGCTCCAAAGCTGCAGAGAAACTCTGTCTTGAAAAACAAAAAACAAAACAAAACAAAACAAAAAATGTTACACAGTCTGGCACATAGCAAACGCTCAACAGAATATGTTGAATCGTGGTTTGCTAAATGAATTAGTAGACACCTTTTCGTTATAATATTTCCTTCTGGTTTTTTGAACAATCCTATGTTTTAGCTTCTGAGAACATCCGAGGTTTTGAATATAACTTGAGGTGTATCCAACACCTACCACACAGTTAGAATACAACATACTGACTGGCTGCTTCCCTAAGAACATGGCATTTGATTTCTAAAAAGCATAAACAACTGCTCAACTAGTGAAAGCCACACAAACCTGAGCTTTAAATGGAAATTAAAAAAATACGAAAATAACTATAAATTTTTTTAAAAAAAGAATTAAGTGTGGGATGCAAATTTTTTAAAATATCATTTAGAAGAGAAAGCTCGAAGCACGGTGTGGGGGTTCATGCCTGTTATTCCAACACTCAGAAGACAAAGACAGGAGGATTGCTATGAGTTCAAGATTAGGTTGGGCTACATAGTAATACCTAGGGCAACATGAGCTACAGAGTAAGACCTTGTGTCAAAACACAAACACAGAGAGAGAGAGAGAGAGAGAGAGAGAGAGAGAGAGAGAGAGAGAGAGAGAGCAGAGAAAGGGAGAGAGCACTTTGCATCCTCCTGCCTCATTCTCTCCAGACACCAGGTGGCGACATTTTATCATGGACTGAGTTCCAGCGGTCTCAATTTTTTTTTTTATTCAATAAATGTACACTAGGAGGCTTAAGCTGTACAGCAAGAAATCATAAAAGAATCGTGCATGGGTCTTGGGTATACAGAGCTTATGATCCGTCTATGGGGTTGGAAAGTTATGGGGCTAATTTAGAAGTACAAGAATGACATGAAAGGGTAACAGCTTCTGGGAGCAAAGATCCAAACAGACGTGTCACATATGAGGACACAAAGCCCACGGAAGAAATGGGAACTGCTATCAGTTAGCAGGAGACTTTAAACTATCAGGTCAGTGAGATGCTACTATAGCCCCGCAGGATAACGCCAGTGAGAGGACTCCGAATGAAGGGGACTCCCACACAGTGAGGGCTCCCTCCCAGACCCTGGATTAGGCACAAACCACACCCAAACAGCTGTTTCCACAGAGAGATCCTTTATTAACTGGGGAAGAAAAGTTAAAGTGGCCGCTTTCTGACTCAGGCAGAAAACCAGCAGAAAATGACCTTGCAGGTGTCATTTTAAAAGGAGAAGAAGGGGAGGTCTGTGTTAGAACGGGCTAGGATGCTGTGGTAAAGGAGACAGGGCATGAGAAAGAAGGAGAAAGGGACAAGGGAAAGGGGTAAGGGGTATTTGTCCCAAAGGGGCGAAGGACGGCCTCTGGACAGAGAGGAGACAGTGATGGCCACATAGGGAAATGGCAATTTATAAAGGTAAAAGAGGAAAGCCTGTGTTAGGATGGGGTGATTAATTTTAATTGGACATGTTAATTAGATGCATCAAAGTGGGGCTTCTCATGCTGGGCATTGGCAGGTAGCCTCGGGAGGAGGAGAAGGAGGAGGAAGTGGCCAGATAAGGGAATAGACCTTGGTGGCTAGCTTTAGGAATGTAATCTAATGGTTTTCAGCAAGGCAGCGGGGATGGGGGAGAAGGGCAATGCCTGCCAGAGCCACATATTCTAGTCCTAGTGATGGTCGCTCTGGGAGCAACTGGACTCTTTTCCACTCCAGGGAGTGGCAACTGATGCCACCATTTGGAGAATTTCTTTATAGTAGTTGCTAAAAGCAAATTACAGATACCCATCACCCAGATGTTCTCTCCTGAGTGCTTATTAGTAGAAATAAATGTTTATAGGTACCCAAAACCCACATATATGTGCTCATGGAAAATTACATATAATAGCAAAATACAGAAAGCACTCATCTACCCACCAGTAATACAATGTGTGAATAAATTAGAGTCATAGTCTGTAGCCTAGACTAGCCTCAAACTCAAGATCCTTTGGCGTGCTTCAGCCACCTGAGTGTGGTAATTACAGGTATGTGCTCTCACTCCAGGCTGGGATCCTTCTTTCTTAAAAAAACAGAGATTACAGAAAGCCTGGAAGGACAGTTATTTTAAGATCAGAGAACACTGCTGTTCAAACAGGATAAGTGGCTATACAGAGACTAAGAGAAAATCAGTAGCCGTCACCCTTACACCCTCAGACCCAGGATGCAGGCCCCACAGGGCAGGATGAGGTAAGCAGGTGGGGATGGGGTGCTGCAGACACCACATGCAGGATGGGGGGGGAGCTACAGGCTCCCCAGGGATGGACAAGGTGAGCTGGGGGGGGGAGAGACAGTGGGGATGGGGGATGGGGGCTAATGTACTTGCCACGTTGAATCAGCACAAACAAGAACAAATTGGGTAGCTAATTGGGAATTGAGAGTCAATCAAAGTCAACTTTGTTTGAACAGAAAGAAAGCAGCATTGGAAAACCACCTAATTTAAACCAAGGGATCGTTTCAAGGCTCGAAATTAGACGTGGAAAAAGAAAAGCATGGTTTCAGCAAAGTCCAATTAAAGCATGAAAAATCCAATTTGGATCGAATTGGTAGGCCTGTCTCAGCACTGGGGTAAGATGCTTATCTGGTCCAGGCGCCACCGTCCAGAGACATCTGCCTCCCCCTCTCTGCCTCCCCTTCTTCCCCAGCAGATACACTTCCTCGGCTCTCCTGCGACCTGTGCAGTCCTAGGTCACTTGTCAATCTTTCATCCCATCTGTCCGTTGTCTAATGTGCTGATGGTTTTTATCTCGACAGCCACCCTGATCCAGTCTTCTCTTGCATTTCTGTGAGTTATTATATCAGTTGGAACAACTTTTAGGAATCTGGTGGCTTTAAACATCTGGAATTTCCTTTCTCATAGTTCTGGAGATGCAGTTGCCCAAACTGGTTTCACTGAGTGTAAATCTAGTAATTAGCAAGCCACACTTCCTCTGGGGAACTGGAGAGGATCCATTTCTAGTCTCCTGCAGCAAGGGGCTGCCTTCCTGACACGCTGGATTTGTGGCATCACTGTCTTTAGCCTCCACTTTCACATGTCTTTGCTGTTTGGTGAGTCCTGTCCCTTTCCCTCCATCACAGGGACATTTGATGGCACTGGGACCACCTAGATAATCCCAGGTAATCTGGAGGAGGTGCTTAGGAACATACATTACCATAGAAAGTAGAATTCCCTCTTTTTCTAAACATGGTAATGTTCACTATTTCTAGGGATCAAGTTTTGATCATTGGAGAGTTCATTGACCCATCTGTCAGTTTTTATATCCTAGAACTAAACAAACCCACAATGGTAGAACTCAGAGCTAAACATATTTGCCTGGAAGGTATAAGAACCCAGATTCAACCCTCCTTAACTTCTTTCTTTCTCCCAGCAAGTCTTCCAGAAAATGGCCCTTTCTTTGCAAATCCCCACATTCTACCGGCTGGTCCAAGTCAGGCTCCCTCTTAGACTATTACAAGGTTTCTAACCAACTTCCCTGGCTCCTTACAGTTAATATGGCCAGGAAGATCATCTCCATCGGTCTTCTCCTTTCCCAAGTATTCAGTGGTTTCCCATCACATTTAAGACAAAATGTGATGGATGCCCGCTCCTGTACCTTCATTATCCTTCTGTGATTGCTCTCTGTCCTGCAAGGGATTCATTCCTACTGCTCACTCAGTTCCATGCTCCTCGTTCACAACCTGCCACCTCCTCTTTTCTCTCCAAGACTCACTTCCCCAGAAGTTTCCTCAGATAACCTTTGACCTCATCAAACTGTCTGTAGACAAAGTATCTGTAGGTAAAGTATGACTGTCTCTTCCTCAGAGAGACCTCTTGACACATCACTTAAAATAGTCTTTCTGTCACTCTCTTAAGACATTAATCCCCAACATTGAGCTATATATTACATGTCAAGTGGCTTCTTTTCTAAGTAATTCTCCCCACTATCATATTCATTTCCTGAGTGCAGGAGCAGTGCCATTTTGTTAAGCACTGGACTTCTAACCGCCTGTGCCTGACTAAGAACAGGAACACGCTAAATATTGTTGAATGAATACGCGAATGAGTGAGTGATTGACAGATCCCAGGTGGTGGGTGGTGAGGGTTTCAGAGAAAAAGCTCTTAGAGGGACCCTTTCTCTATGCTCCCGACCGCAATCTCAAATAAATATAGCTGTACTTTCTTCTCAGCTGGAACACCTCCGCTTGCTCTAACCCAGTGTTAGAGCTGCTGAGGCAGGGCCGGCAGCCACCCCCATCTCAGTTTTCAGACCAGCCTTCCGGGGACGTGGGCAGTGTGGCCACCAGGCAGCGAAAACTAAGAGAGCAGAGCCAATGAGTGAGTGTATGTGGTGTGTGCATGGGTGTGTGGTGGGGGTGGGGTGCAACCTTCCTGCCATGTAAATGTTAGACATTAAAATGGAAAGCGAGTGCTAGAAATTGGGATTCTCTGTAAGCTTTTAGCAGAAACGCTGTATTTGATAGGCACCTGGGGCAGCTGACCTTCCGTGAGCCCTCACCTCACAGAATACAAGCTCAGACACAGCATCTTCTTGTTTAGACACCTCATCACCCTCCCAATAAACCAGTATTTGCTCTGTGACCAGTCAAAACCCACATGCAAAAATAGCATAATATTAATAAGCAAATGGAATTTCAGGGACAAACTTCAACTTGAATCTCAAATGAGTATTTCTGTCTATTTGCGTTGGTCGCTTTTCCTTGCTATGACATAATGCCTGAGCAAACCGACTCAGAGGAAGAGAGAGTTATTTTGGTTCATGGTTTCAAAGGTTCCAATCCATAGCTGCTGGCTCGACGGCTAATGGGCTTGTGGTGAGGCAGACCACTGGTGACAGGAGGATGTGACAAGAGAGGCTGCTTACATCATCCCAGAAGGGAACCTGAGAGAGCGACAGAACAGGGTGGGGGACAAGAGACAATCTTCAAGGTCATGTCCTTAGTGACCTATTAGACTCCACCTCCTAGAGTCTACCATGTACCAATAATGCCATCAAATTATGAATCCATCAATGATGAATCAATCCATGGATTGGGTCAGAGCCTTCACTACTCACCTCCCCCAAACCCCACTTTTGGTCACCATATTAAGGACTAAGACTTCAATATATGGAGTTTAGAGGGGACACTTCATGCCTAAACTAGAACAAGATTCTTCATGAGCTGCTTACTTGGCATCCGTTTCCTTATGCAGAGAATTAGAATCAACCAAGCTGGGCGAATAGCACAGGCTCATAGCCCTGTTACTCAAGAAGTGGGAGGATCCTGAGGTCAAGGCCAGCCTGGTCTAAATGACAAACCTGTATCAAAGAGACAAAGGAAGAGAATATGCTATTGCGGAGTAGTACAGTGCTTTCCTAGTATGGAAGAATCCCTAGGCCCAATCTCTAATAAAGCTAAATTAATAGATAGATAACGAATCTATCTTAGTGGTATAATAATAACTGAGTGTTCTCTTGCTACACAGCTGATTCCGAGTGGTTCTGACAGCCTGGTTGCTGTGCAAGGCCACCCACTTCTTCCACAGCTCAGGGCTGGCCCTATAATGTTTCTTTAGGGAGAATCGCCCCCCTCCCCAGCAGAGAGCAGGCCAGGTTAACTCTCAGAGCCTCACTCTTCTCCACATGCAAGTGGTGCCATTGCTGAAAAGACTGATGTAAACACCATTGAAGAAAGGGTGATCTTACTCTCCCCCTTCTGCTGGATGGCTTTGGGTTTGTCATGATTAGTGTTCCCACAAAAAATGATCCATTTTTCTTCATCAGAAGTTTGAATATCAGCCATTGCGTTTCTAACAGTTCAGCCTTAGTAACAGCAATGTTGACGGAGGCAGCTCATTTGTTCCCGGCCGCACAGACCTGAAATGACCATACAGAAAACTATATTAATTCTGCCACTACTTGGCCTATTAGCTTAAGCATATTTCCAGCTAGCTCTTACATCTTAAATTAACCCATTTCTATTCTCCTGTGCATCGCCATGTGGCTGTGGCCTACCGGTAAGGTTCTGTCTGCCATCTGTCTCCTGCTGTGCTACAGGGTGTCTCCCTCTGACTCCACCTACTCTCTCTATATATCCTTTCCAATCTGGCTATATTCTGTTAAGCCATTGGCTGAAAGCAGCTTCTTTATTGACCAATGGCAATAAAAACATATTCACAGCATACACAGGGGAATCCCACATCACAGTGATTTTTGTGAAAAGCAAGAACACTACTTAACATTCACCGAGTGCCTCTATGTGCTAGCTACATGGATTCATTAATTACTTCATTTAATAACCATGCCCCTATGAGTTGTGCCATCATCACCATCTTTACCCAGCAGATGAAGAAGCTAAAGCACCTGGAAGTTTGGTAAATGCTCACGGGCAGCACAGAGTAATAACGGGATACAAGTCCAAACAATATCATTCCAGAGCCCCCACATCTAACAACCACTCCCTCTTCCTAGGCTTTTGAAACCCAAATCCCTGACCTAGAGTCCATCCTCCCATCCTTAGTGCACCTGTTGTGAGTCCAGACATGTTCCATTCTGCTTTTTGTCTGCCTCAGTCCTGAATGTGACTAACTGGAGTTTCCCTGTCGCTGTGAGATACCTGCCTAAGGAAGACCTAGATAGTATTCTTGTTCAGCTCCCCCACTGAAAATGGGTTAGTGCACAGTTGTCCATAGAATGTGCTGTATGTTGACCACACACCACTTCCTACTTCCGTGAATCTGTCCCCTCAGTCCCTTCCACAGTCCCAGGGGGATTCTGGCGCCACGCTATTGTCTACTTTTCCCATCCTCTTCTGCTCTTAAGCAGCCCACACCTAGCCCAGCAAGTGCAAATGGCATTAATGAGGAGAACGTGGGCTATGCAGAGAGCATGAGACCTGGTTCTTGAATACAAAACAATCATAGTCTGATTGGCAGAAAGAATAAGGAAAGAGAATACAGGGTAGTGCACTTGGGGCGATGGCCGAGCTGCACCATTTATTACACAATAAAAGTCAGGCTTGGCATTAATGAGAAAACAAAGAATAATAATCAGGATATAATCCAAACAGTTTCTGCTTATCATCTGTGTCAAATCCAATATACCAGTGTTAAAGGGAGGTCCCCAAGGAGACAAATTGACTTTGTCTATGGCAGCCTCCAGTGAACCCCAACTGGTAGCAGGAGAAGCATCCTGTTTCTGCCACTCCCCACACACCAACCAAAGACATTTATCCACAAATCAGGAGTAAAGTGACCAGAATTAAAGTTCTCTCCAGTGCCCAGCCTGGCTGGGTCACAATAAATGGCATCCCTAAAAGCCACATATTTTTTTTGTCTCGGGCTCAGACAGACAATACATCTTCAGGTAATTCTTTCTTAGCCAGCCCCTCTTCTGCCAGCTAAGCCGCCGGTGTCGGCAGCCATTAAGCCTGTGCACAGGCACACGAGGCTCAACCAGGAAATCAATAGAAGCCAGTGAAACACGATATTTCCTCCATCCCTTTGCTTATCTAAATGGGGAAAGTTTCCAGGAGGAGAGCGAAGACCAGCCAGCTCCACAGCGCCATTCCTCTCTCCGCACACACAAGCAGAGAGATTGTTGTCTTCTAAGAATGCGGGCAAAGGCTAAATTTAAAGACGTTAATGGTATGGTAAAGCCACCTTCAAACTCTCTTCACATCTTAAAGACAATTACAGAACCCGTTCTGGGAGAGTGGGAAGGAGAGCTCAGAAATTGACTGGGTAGAGAGACACGTGAAACCACCAGCTCGCTCTTCCTAGTGAGGGTGGTGTGGTAATCACTTGCATTTAGCTCCCAGCCTTCTCAGAAACCTTTCTTCCCGAACCCCCGTCCTAAGGCTGATCTCTGCCTGCTGCTCTACTTAGCTCCACTTTTATTCATCTGAAGTCATTTATTATTGATGGCAGCCTTTTATCCTGGTCCTCTGCTGCTCAGACTTTGCAACCTGGCAGGTTTGTGACTAAGTAGCAGGCGCCATTTGTCACCGCTGGTAGAGCAGGCACTGGACAAGTTCAAGGAAGAAAGTCACGGTGAAATGACTGGCCTTAGCCAGCCATAAAATGATCACAAACGGAAGCGTCTGTAAAAAGCCAGGAGTGTATTCTCTTACTGCTTTTGAAGCCAGAAATTAAGGATGAAGGTGTCAATATGGCTGGCGTCTGTGAAAGCTTTCTTTTTAGGGTTTCAGATGACTACCTTCTTGATGTGCTCACTGGTGTGTGTGTGTGTGTGTGTGTGTGTGTGTGTGTGTGTGTGTGTACAGAGAGTGCAAACACCTATGTGTCTTCTCTCAAAAAGCCACTAACCCCATTGCGAGTCTCTCATCTTAATCACCTCCCAAATCCCCAGTTAGAACATCACACTAAGAGTGACAGCTTCAACAGATGGATGTGGGGAAGATGCTCCAGGCCACAGCGGCACTATACTATGGAGCCTCTCGTTTCTTGTGTTAGGGACAGATGGGTCCCTTCGATTCAGGGCCACATATTTCTGTAGTAGTTTCTCTGTGTTTTGTGCCAGAACAGTGACTGATAAAATACAGTATGGTACCTGTGTTGTGATGTGATCCACCCCAACATTGCTGTCAAAAGACACAGAATTCCAGTACTACTGCCTGCTGGAATGACCGTGATCCAAGACCAAGACCAACAAGATGAGGGTGCAGATAGGAAGACAGGCTGATGGTGGTTTAATGGAGAGAGTACAGTAATTCCTTAAAAGATATTTGCTGGGCATGGTGATGCATGCCTGCAATCCTAGCACTTTGGAGTCTGAGCCAGGAGGATTCTGGGTCCAAGGCAACCTGAGCTACATAATGAATTCCAGGCCAGCCTGTGCTACAGAGTGTGGCCCTGCCTCCAAGATGGAAAAACTAATTATGATAATATTGCATTTCTGGGTACAGATCTGAGAGGACTGAAATCAAATCCCAAGGGACTGTTCTCACAGCTGTATTATTTGTAATGTTCTACACAACAACCACACAGTGGCGACAACACAAATACTCATGAACTGACTTAGGAGTAAAGAAGATGTGGCACATGCATATAGTGTGATCGATAGTATTTGACCTTAAAAACTGTAAGGAAATCCTGGGCTGGAGAGATGGCTCAGTTTGTACAAGCACTTCCCCCACAAGCTTGAAGACCTGAGTTTGATTCGCAGAAACCCATGTAAAGGTGGAAGAGAGGAACCAGCTCCCAAAAGTTGTTCTCTGCCCTCTACGTGTATGCTATGGGGTGCTTACACACACACACACACAAAGCCTCACATGCATCCAGTATTAAATAATTGAGTGATTAATTAAAGTTTAAAATACAAGGCAATTCTGTCACATGCTACAACACAGGTGAACCTCAAACACGTTATGCTAGTGAACTAAGCAAGTCATGGGCACAAAGACAATGTGCACCTCCGCTAACGTGAGCTCTCTAACGTGAGCTCTCTAAAAACAGCCAAATTTATAAAAACGGGGAAAGTTGAGCTGAATTGTTCAGTGGGTCTGGAGTTTCAGTTCCACAAGAGCAAAATTCTGCAATCTATTGTGTAACACACGAACACGCTTAACACTAGAACTAGTTAAAAGGCTAAATTCTATTTTCCTAAGCACAATTTAAAAAGAAAGAAACATGACTGCCCAGTCCAACCTTGAGCAGCCGCTGCTGATAAGAGCATCAGGTAGACTGTCCCAGCTTTGTCCTTACTTGTAGGACAAAGGTCAGCAACATCTGTGTGATCAGAGGCTGGGCACATGGCTCCAGAAGTGCCTGGGAGGTACACAGAAGGCCTGGCCTTCAGCCTCCAACAGCACTGAGAAGCCAGGTGAGACTACACATGCCTGTGATGCCATTTCAGAAGTTCGTGGTCAGGCTTGGCTACATGGTAAGTGTTGAACCATCCTGGGTTACAGAAGACCCTGTCTCACAACAACAGCAACACAAGAGTCATCATGAATTCTAAACGAGATAAATAGCTCAGTAAAGAACCTTTAGTAGTCTCACCCATTGCTTTATTCCACACAGATGTTGCCTTTCAATGAACAAACAATGCTGCTGAACAAATACTCACCCACAATCTGACACAGTTGGTCAGAGCAAAGCAGCCAGCTTCTTGCGTGCGGTAGTTTGAACGCGATGTCCTCATATCTGGGGTAAGTAAATACTTGGTCTCCAGTTGGTGGCTATTTGGGTAGGCTTAGAAGGTATGGCCTTGCGGAGGAAGTGTGTCACTGGGGGTGAGTGCTCTCTCTGCTTCCTGCTTGTGGCTTGAGATGTGAGGTCTCAGCTGCTGCTCCCACTACCATGCCTTCCTGCCGCCATGCTCCCCACCAGGATGGTGATGGACCCTGATTTTTTGGGAAGCCCAAATCAATCCTTCTATAAGTTGTGTTCTTCATGGTGCTCCATCGCAGCAACGGAGAAGAAACTAATGCACCATGCAAGGGAAACACAAGAACTATTGGGCCTAAAGGCGATTAATTTAACAGAGATTGTGTCTAAAAGTCACGCCATATCACAATGTCATATCCAGACCACTAATAACACACTGAATTTGGGGAAACTATAAAAACAACCAAGGTGATACTTTGAACAGTCAGAAAATGTCAAAATCTTACAAAATAACATTGTATTGTTATAGCAAAAGCAAAAGTTGTGGCTAAAAGGAAAGTTGCATATAGAAATCAAAGAGCTTCGAGCTGGGTATGTGCTAGACAAGCTGACCATGTAATCAGGAAAACAGGGACTCTGGGGGGCAAGGCCAGTGTTTGAACTCCTCTCGGTCCCACTCCTGTCAGGTCCTCTGGCAAACAGAGAAAAGGCCCTGCTGTCCTTTCACATAATCTTGCTACACGCAACTGAACCATAAGCAATCATGGCGTCTAAATGGCCTCCAATGATTTCAGGAAAGAAACAACACAGCAAAGGAGTTAAATGTGAGGGAACCAACAAAGATGACAGCCACAGCTCAGTAGCTTTGATAAGGGCGTGTTCCATGACAAAATTACAACCTGATTGTGAAGGGGGAGAAAAAAAAAGAGAAAGGGAGAGAGGGAGAGAGGGAGGGAAGAAAGGAGGGAGGGAGGGAAGGAGGGAGGGAGGGAAGGAGGGAGGGAGGGAGGGAGAGAGAGAGAGAGAGAGAGAGAGAGAGAGAGAGAGAGAGAAGTCTAATTAGCAACTAGTTGACTCTGCCCAGGTCTCAAGACCAATAACACCTGTGAGGACTGCAGGCCTAGCAATGGCGGTCTAGGGTAATGGCCAGCCTACAGTCAAGGTTAACAGTTAGCAAAGTGGAAGTGAGAAATACACAAAGAGGAGTTCAACTATGCCCTAACTGGACAAACAGCCTGTGAACAGCATACGGCCATCTCCCTGGTTGGCCTAGGAGAACACATAGAACACGGGCCCTCTAATTAGCCAACTCATAAAATTACATCATCTTTGTTAACTTTCTGTCATAAGACCTATAAAAGCCCCTAAACTAGCTGTTCAATGGCATCCCTACCTTGAGGCTCTTCCAAAAGGGGAGCCCCAGCCAATGCCTGCAGCTCCTGTCTCCTTCCATCACACCAAATGGGAGTTCTGGTTGCCGACTTCCTAAAAAAGACCTCAATCCTTCCTTAAGCTTGTTCTCTACAGTCAAACCCCCTGTTCAAACTCGTCCTTCCTGTGTCTGTGAAACTCATCCTTCAGATTTGAAGGAAAACTGCCCAGAACCAATAGCTCTTGAGTTGTGCGAACCTGAGACAAGAAACTGTCTTCTGCACTCAGGAATGCCGGTCCCCCATGTCATCATGACAGCGTATATCCCATCGCAAGATCACGAGGTAGAATTAAATTGAGTATTATTACTTTCGTCCTTAGACTGTTTATAAAGACTGTGCCAGATACATCAGCTTAGATGTTGAGTTTTCACCTCACAAGTCTACAAATAATTATTTATAAGATTTTATTTAACATCTTCTAGCACCCCCAAAAAAATCTTTTCCAATAATCTTTATATGCATAACTTAATTTGAATGCCTATACAAAGATTGGTAAAGATGTGATTCCTAATGTCTGAACAGTCTGAGACATCATAAAATTAAGAATTTCCCTTCACCCTGACAACTTGCCTTCTAGTCCTCACATCCAATCCCTGAGATCTTCTTTGAACACAAACTGACAAGTAGAGACAAAGCAGAACTGAGATTTCTAGGTCACGGTAACTGAAATCAGGGTTCTGAGTATGTGATCTCCTGGTGATTTTAAGGCCTATAGTGATTCTAATTAAAACAGACAAAAAAAATAAGAAAAATGAAACAACTTAGGGCAAATAGCAACAGTCTCCAGAACTTCCTTACCTGAATATAGGCATGGATGTTTTACATATACACCAATTGTAAGTGTGTGTGTGTGTGTCTGTCTGTCTGTCTATGTGGGCGTGTGTGTGTGTATGTGTGTGTGTGTGTGTATTGTAAGAGTCACCACCAGACTTCAAAGTTACTCAGAGCTCAAATACCGCTGCCCCAGCACACAGACACACCCTGCTCTGATTTGAATGTGTCATCTCCAAATTTCGGGTGTTGCCATTGTTTTGATTTTAAGAAGTAGGGGCTTGCTGGGTGGTGGCGGCACATTTCTTTAATGCTAGCACTCAGGAGGCAGAGGCAGGTGGATCTCTGAGTTCTGAGTTTGAGGCCAGCCTGGTCTACAGAGGAAATTCCAGGATGGCCAGGGGTACACAGAGAAAACTTGTCTTGAAAAACCAAGGTACAGTCTTAGAAACATATCAGCTCTCAGCAAACAAGAAAACACCTTGACCTCGCATTTCCCAGCATCCAGAGCTGTGAGAAACAAATTACCCTGCTTTTACAGTGCAAATGGACTAAGACACTGCCACGCTATTGATCTGCAATCCTGGCCACACATCAGAAGCACCTGTCACTTTCTGTGCAAGTCCACCGAGATTCTGACTATCGAGCAGCATTGGAGAGTAGGCACCAGTGTGTTTCAGAGCGACTGGGAATCACCGGGTCCTTCAGGACAGCAGGGCAGGGTGAAGCCACACAGAGTTTTCCACTAATGAAGCTGTTTGGTCTTGAACATGGGCAGCAACTTTCAAGTATCAGACTGCGAACTGTGAGTTACATGTAGTGAATTAAAGGTGGGCCTATCTATATTCCCTATAAAACTGGTGATGAAGTGGTAACTTCATGAAGATAAACAGGACAGACAAGAAGAACAGCAGGCCAAACTGCATCTAGAAGAGGAGAACGCACTTCCCGGTGGATCTTATGAGTCACATGCACTTTAGTACAAAACTAAGCAAGCATAATCAAAATGAAAATTAATATTTCTCATAAAGTTAAAAGCTAAAGTCCTGAAAGGGAGAATGCTAGACAACAAAATTCTGAGAGACCACAGGAATTTTCTAGCATATCCAGGAGCACAAGAACAAACCAAGGGGCCATTGAGCATTTGACAGAAATCAACAAACACAGAAAAGCAATTTAAGCAACTTCAACATTCAGTCATTACAAAGCAAGAACAACAACAAAAACCCTTTCATAGACTCAGAAATACAGTGCAACTTTCTCAACTTCATGACAAACATCTGTAAAAATCTATACCTGAGCCTGTAGTATGATCTTCAGAATCTAAAAGTTGTCTTCTGACCTCCATATGCTTGCCATATGCAGCACACGCATGCTCACTCACAAGCAAAAATGATAATGACAATAAATATTATACTCAACATTTAACTCTATAGCTATAGTTAACATCATAGTTAACTGATGCTGAATGCTCCCCTCCTATGTTTAGGGACTTTATGAGGATGCTCACTCTCAGAACTCTTATTTCACAGAGTAAAGGAAGTCACAATGAGAGCAAGCAAGCAAGAAAACCATAGGAAAGGAAGAGACAAATTGCGTTTACTCGTGGAATTGTCTACATAGGGAAGTCCAACAGAAAAGTTCACAGGACAAATTAATAGGTAGGAGGACACAATGCCAACATACAAAGATCAATGCATATAATATACTAATGACAAATGGGGGTATATTTGATGCCACTTGCAATTGCACTCCCAAAGTGAAGTGCCTGGGAATAAATCTAACAAAGCATATATGGTCGGTACACACAAACATACAAGCCCGCTGATGGAGAAGTCAAGATCCAAGTACTTAGAGAAGGATAAAATGCTCATGATTGCAAGACTCATTAAGTAAAGGTACCAATGAACTCATTACAAACCTTAGGTGAACAGGTAAAGGAGTGGCTGGAGAGATGGCTCAGTTGGTAAAGTGCTTGCTTTGCAAGCATGAGGACCTGGAGTCAACAACCCCAGAACCATGTAAACACCCAGACACAGGCCTGTAATCACAGCACTGGGGAAGCTGAGCTAGGAGAATCCCAGAGGCTTGCCCAACCAGCCGGTTTAACCAAACCAGTGAGCTCCAGGGACGGTGAGAGAATTTGCCTCAAAAAGTAAGTTGTAAAGTGATCAAGAAAGACACTCAAGCCTGAACTTCAGTCTCTGTGCATGTATGCAAATGGAGGGAGGGAGGGAGGGAGGGAGGGAGGGAGGGAGGGAGGGAGAGAGAGAAAGAGAGAGAGAGAGAACTCTTATGAAATCTGCAGAAGAGGCCATCAGACACTTCATTAAGAAGGAGATACAGATGGAAAAGCACATGAGAAGAGTTTCAGCACTGTTAGCCATCAGCCAGTTGAAACCATGGCAAGATGTCACTACATGTCGTTTAGAGCAGCCAGAATTAAAGATGGTGCCAGCATCAAGAGCTGAGAAGAGAAAAGGAGGCTGGATCTGTCTCCTAGATGTAAAATCCAGGCAGCCATCCTGGAAACCATTTAACAGTTATCATACACCTGTTTCACGCTTGGGTTTTTAATTACAGAGCAGTAACATTGTACATTCTAACAAAAACACATACTCACATGGTCGTTGCATCTTTCCATATAACAGCAAGGCACTGGGAAACCCTCCTGCAACAACTTCTTTGAATGAATGGTTGAATACGCTCCTGGATATCCACACAATAAAACCCTACTCACCAATCAAAAAGGAATGACCTATGGATGCATGCCACAACCTGAAGGGACATTAAGGACATTATTTTTGATGAAAATGTCTATCTCAAAAGGTTATGCTGTATAATGACATCAAAAGACCAGCCTAGAAATAATAAACCTATAGAGGAGGAGAACGGTTTGATAATTGCAAGAGAACAAGGGTGAAGATGGGGTAGAATGGAGAGGGTGAGGCCCATCTACAGGATGCGAGAAGGGGAGGTTCTGTTGTGCTGACAGATGTTCTTCTGGGTCTTAGAATCTGGGGTGGTTACACAAATCCACACATGTGAAAAAGCTGCACAGAGCTATACAAAAATGCATAATGGGCACAGCTGGCCTTGAACTCGCGCTGAAGAAAAATCCCAGTGTAGACTGCTTGCCTTTCATGGCTGAGCAGCTAGGTTCATTTTTCAGCACTAAAAGAAACGAAGAAAAGCGAGTGAGATCTGCAGTGTAGTTCACACTGGTATCAAGGGCAACCTCTGAGTCTGCAAGATGTCGCCACTGGGGGTCAGGTGAAGACTAGACTGGATATTCTTGGGAAGTCATCTGAACTTATGATTGTTTTTAGAAGGTTAAACTAAAAGCCAAGTTAGGAGAGATGTTAAAGTGTATTGGTTATTGCTCTGTTAAACGATGCGCATGAGCGTACACCGTGTGTGTGGAAATCAGAGGACGATTTTCAAGAGTTCATTTCCTCCTTCTGTCATGGGTGTCTAGAACTAAACTCAGGTGATCAGCCTTCCTCAGCCAGTTTTTGCCTGCTGAACCATTTTGCCAATCAGAGATTAAAAAAAAAAAATTTAAACTAGCCGGGCAGTAGTGGCGCACGCCATTAGTCCCAGCACTCAGGAGGCAGAGACAGGTGGATCTCTGTGAGCTCAAGGCCAGCCTGGTCTACAGAGGGAGTTCCAGGACAGACTCCAAAGCTATAGAGCAACCCTATCTTGAAAAACCAAGAAAAAAAATTAAACTAAGGTATCTCCACAAGGTTTTAAAGAGTTTTTAGGGAGGCTTCGTTGCTGTCAAGGGCCTTTGTAGTGCACTAAGGTTGGGTGGGAACAAGGAATCCATGCTCCAAGGGGACGGCAGCTGCAGCAACAGACAGGAGTAGACCACAGTCCTGGGGCCTGCCGGAGAAAACTAACAAGGCCTCGGGCTGAAGAGGAAGGAAGTAATGAATGCCCTTGCAGGAACACGGACCCAGCACAAAGCCGAAGTGGACAGGCCAGAGCAGATCTGAGCCTGCCAAGAGGGAAGTAGGGAACGCGTCTGTGTGGGTGGGTGAAGTGAAGAGGAAAATCACTCTGGACTGAAGGCAGAAAGAGCATGTTCTGCCTTGTGAGCATGGCTGCTTTGAGAGCGACTATCCATCCATCCCTTGGCTGATGGAGAGCTGCGGCCCCTCCCACCCAGGGAAGCTGCACTGCCTGTTCCCATACATCCTCCCCCAACAGGCTCACGGCACATTCATCACATTCATCCCAGCCATCGTGACAGCACCCATTTGCACAGAAGCTTCCCCGCCTCCCAAGAAATGTTCCATATTTATGTCCTCATTTAAGCCCCGCTGTTGACTTATACATCCGGGAAGGTGGATTTTTTTAAATTAAAAAAAAAAAAAAAAAAAGGAAAGCACTAGAAATGCGGTGTTGTGAAGATAAGATTGTGGATAAATGGTGAATTACAGGTTGTGATGGGAAGATAATCAGCTCTGAGCTACCGACTGCACTCCACGCTTTCCTGTTCGCCCCTGTGCTCCCAAGCCACAGGATGCTTTGCAATCTAAAGACCAGGGGTGAGACCTTCAGAGAGAAAAGCTAACAGCAAACCCCAGCCTTGTGGAAGTAGCATTGCCTCCCACGGAGCTGGGCTGACCGTAGACCCCCTGCTCTTTGTCTGGTTTGTGTCTTGAGAAAAGCAAGAATGCACTAGCTGGAGGTTGGACGTTTCCAGGTGATTCCTGTCTTAGCCAAACACGGATCCTGGATTAATGAGAATATATTTTTATCTCTCAACCTTTGAGCTGAAGCTGAGAGAGCTGTTCTTTGCCTGCTGGGTGAGGTTGCCATGGGAACTCTTTGGGAAGAAAGTGTGCCTCTTTCTTTATATGTTGTGACTACAAGAAGGGACTAAAACAGACCAGACACTCCCGATGAGAATGGGGCGCACAGACCAAACAAAGCACTGCTCCCCCATCCTTTAATATTTCCTGTGCCCCACAGATGTGAAGTGTTCCCAAACAGATCCGCATCCGAATACGCAAAACTAAACCTCTTGTGGCTTCCAAATCCTGATCTTCACTGATGCTTCCTCGGGCGTGGCCTGGAAGCCCAGTTACAGCTAGGGACACCAGTAGGGGCAACAATGTGATGTGTCTGAGCTGGCTTGAACTGCTCCATGATACCAACATATGCATTTCTTCCCAAGTCCATGTTCAGAGATGGCACACTGCCAGTTCAAAATGAGTCCTGCTGGAAACATTTTCAACACACACACACACACACACACACACACACACGTAAATTCTACAGATTAAAGTTTGGGGGGGGGGCAGCTTACTTTTGAGGTGGTTCTTTTTCTCCAGAGTTCAATGTCTGATTTGGAGCACATTCCCAGGTTGTATGCATCACTGACTACAAAAGAAAGGCAGGAACTCAGATCTACAGCAGAGACTATTACACAGGTCTTATATAACTTACACAGTCTCTGCAACATTTACATTATTAAGACTAAGAGGGATTTAAAGCATACATACTACCCTCATTACCATGTGTCTCTGATAACAAAGGTTGGTTATTTATTTATTTATTTATTTATTTATTTGCTCACTCATATTTTTCAAGAATAGGGGTGAGGTCAGGTCTTGCCGTGTAGCCTAGGCCAGCCTCAAACTTGCAATCTTCCTACTCCCTGCCTCCTGAGTGTCGGCCATAGGTGTGCACCATTACACCTGGGCGAGGGCAGATCATTGTACACACTGTTTTACCATTAGAGCCAAGGAGAGTAGGCAGCAAGTATTTAGGGATTGACTGGTGAGCTCAATGAACATTTGAATTGCATGAATCAAAGCATCATGTAAAACAGTGACAGCCCTCAGAAGAAAACATCAGCCCCAAAAGTGGTAATCACTATCCCAAGTATACCAAACCCATGTATACAATGAGAGGGCATAGATAGATAGAAATGCAGGTCTAGCTTTTTATACTGACTCATAGGATCACCTAGTTCAAGTCCTGGTGCCACGGCAAATGCTGTGTTTGACTTGTAGCCACAGTCTTTCAGTGTACAGTTGAGAATCATTTTCGGTCATCTTATTATGTAAGCTGCTTTTACCACAGCAAACTCCATTCTTGTGTGAATATTTCTGCCGTCCCTGAACAGCAGATGCTGTTACAGTCAAGTGCAGCTCTGAGGGAGGCGCATGGTCTTTCCATTAGGTCAGTGCCCTCTTGGCTGGCTTTACGTCCTCCTTCCCATCCTCTTTCTTTTTTCTTTTCTTCCATCTTCCCTCCCTCCCCCTCTCCCCCTCTCTCTCTCTCTCCCCAGTTCACCTCTTTCTTCCCTACACCTAGTACGAAATAGAACCCTCACGCAGAAACCGAGAGTAATTTCCCTACAAACACTATGAAGCTGCAAGTCTCAGGAAGATCCTGGACATTCGGGAAGGACACAGCATTCAGAGATGAAAGACATTATGTTGTAGAAAAAATCCTCTGTCCACTGTGAAGATGTGTTGCTCTCATTTGGTCTAATAAAGAACTAAATGACCAATAGCTAGGCAAGAACCGGTATAGGCAGGAGAGCCAGACAGAAAGACCTCCGGAAAGAAGGGTGGAGTCTCCAGGAGATGTGGGGAGAAGCAAGATGAGCAAGCCATACTGAGGGATGGGCCACGTGGTAGAATGTAGATGAGAAATAGGGGTTAATTTAAGTTGTCAGAAACAGTAAGAAGTGTAAACTATTGGACAAGTATTTACAATTAATAATAAGTCTCTGTGAGGTTATTTGGGAGCTTGCTACAAGGACAGAAAATTCTGCCTACAATCTTACTAGATTTTTTTTAGATTACCCTCATAGATTGACATCTCTCATATATTATTTCCCACATATTGTGTGCTGGTTAGTTTTATGTCAACGTGGCCCAAGCTAGCCTAATTTGAGAAGAGGGAAGCTCAATTGAGAAAATGTACCCAGCAGATTGGCCTGTGGGGCATTTTTTTGTATTAGTGACTGATTTGGGAGGACCCGGTTCACTGTAAGTGGTACCACCCCTGGGCTGGGGGTCCTGGGTTGTGTAACAAGGCAGGCTGAGCAGTATAATAAGAAACAGCCCAGTAAGCAGCCTTCCGTCAAGGCCTCTGCTTCAGTTCCTGCCTCCAGGTTCCTGCCTTGGGCTGTTTGATGATGGACTGTAATATGGAAGTGTAGGTAAAATGAACCCTTTCTTCTTCAAGTTGTCCTTAGTCGTGGTGCCGTATCACAGCAATGGAGACTCTAGCTAAAAACACAGTGGTCCGCTAGGTGTTTGGCTGCCTCTTGGTTCCCCTCTTTGTGGTCATTACACCAAACCTCCTTTTCTTCCTCCCCTTCCACTTTCTTCTTCTCTGTCATAGTTACCATCTCCTCCTCCCTCTCCTTTCTTCATAGCATAAAATAATAACATAAAAAGTATAGAATAATGTGCACTCCACTCATTGTTGGCTTGTCAAATCGTCATGTGCCTCTGGTTGTTTTCACTAACATGCAAAGGGAAGAAAAGCATTTGCTAAATCAATAGCTGAACAGGCCCTAGGTGATGGGCTGATGTGATGTGCTCCTATAAATAAATCACGTCTGAAGTGAGGGTTGAGAGTGGTATTATCACCAATTAAGTTTATGATGATGCATGGTCATTTCTAAGGACCCATCTGCTGTGGGTAGAAATCCAACCACCAAAGCAAACTATGGAAGCCATTGGAGCCACTTGGCATGAGCACAGTGTAGCATCTCAAATCTAAATACCCACTCAGCAAACCCATTGTGATCTGACTATTCTCTATGTAGCCCTGGTTTGTTTTCAATAATGTTCAAAACCCACAACATTAACACTACAACAGGATTCCTAAAGGTGCAGTGGTGGCACCTTTGTCTTGGTGGTTACCAACAGCCGCCTAACTGGGCCTAAGTTATTTTCAATAGGAGAGAATTTGTGCCTGATACAGTAAACTTAGCTAACTTCCTGTAAGGGGTGGCCCTAGAAAAGAACCTACTTCTCTACTTCTACCACTTTCCCAAACAAGAACCTTTGCTGACTGAATTCTAAATACTTATCCTTAAACCCACAATAAGTGTAGCTCTTAACTTTGATCAAGGGAGCTCTTTTTTTTTTTAGTAGCAGCAACAGCTGGAGATCATTACAGAAAGCCACACCTGATCGAAATGCAAAGAACAACTGACTGTGGGATGTCCAGCCGCAACTGATAAGTCTACATCAAAATTCCTAAACCTAAGGGAACATCATGAAAGAGGAATAGGATAGGAAAAAATGTAAAAGCCAGAGGACCAGCACCTCTGCTGTGAAATATAATGTCTTCAATATATGACACAAAGTTATACCTATAAAATCTTAACAATTACCTAAACAAGATCTGCACACTAATAATACCAGCTAACATCCCAAAATGGATGGGGGAAATCTCACAAGGGCCCACTGACCTGAAACAATAGGTTATTGAGTGACAGGTGGGGGGAGAGAAAGAGAGAGAGAGAGAGAGAGAGAGAGAGAGAGAGAGAGAGAGAGAGAGAGAGAGAGAGAGAGATATCCAGGGCATGAAAAATGAAGAAAATAGAAAAGTTTGGGATCAGAAGGTCTTACACAGGTTAATGGCTCATGCAATCATGTATACTAAGAAGTACAACGTCAACAGGGCATGGTGGCACATGCCTTTAATCCCAGCATTCAGAGGGAGGCAGAGACAGGCAGATCTTTGTGAGTTCAAGGCCAGCCTGGGTCTACAGGATGAGCCCCAGGACAGATAAAGCTGTTATGCAGAGAAACCCTTGAAGAAAGAAGAAGGAGGAAAAGAATGAAGAGAAAAAGAGAAGATTTACATACACTTTTCAGGAAGAAATGGGACAGAGTCAACAAAAAGCTATCATACAATGGGAGGAAACTTCAGGAAGCTAACCAATCAATGTAGCGCAAAGGGACCACAGGCTATCTCAAGTGCATCTCAGACTAAGTGCTCAATGGCCTTGAGACTGATAACCTCAGTTCTTCAAGAGAGTAAAAAATAGTGGAATTCTCAGATCAGGAAAACCTCAGCTCTTCGAAGATCCTGCCCCCAACTCATTACTGATTTTGCCAAATATGTGCCTGGTTTTAGACAAGGAACTAAGTTCCTTCTCCATACATGAGGATCTTAGGAAAAGTCTTGAACTAACCTGGCCCTCACGCAATCTAACCTTGATGAAGAACTACATGCAAATGGTGTCTAAGAGAAGGGCAATCACTCTTCTCCAGAGACAAACCTTCTAATAGGCTACCCAATCCCAAAAGGTAATCCCTAAACACACACACACACGCACACTCACAAGCACACACACACACACCACTAAATGGACTTAGCAGGATTTTTCAAATATCGTGTGTGTGTGTGAGTTTGCGCAGTAATAATAAACAAGAGGCTATGACTTTGATGGGGACATAGGAGGAGTTGGAGGGGGAGGAGATAGAGTGAAAATAATGTAAATACAGTAGTCACATATAAAATTCTCAAAACACCAATACAATAAACATTCTCTTCAGAAAAGAATTCATCAAGTAAAATTGAGCTGAGAGGGTAGCTGAGCATGAACATGTAAAACCTTGAACTCAATCCTCAGGGGTGTGAAAGAGGAATGGAAAATGGAGCAAAAGGGGAAAAGTAAAGGAAGGAAAGGAGGAGGAAGGAAGGAGAAAGAGAGAGGGTGGAGAGATGGAGGAAAACAGGGATGTCACATGAATAGTATCACAAGGACCTGGGCACTGGGGTACATGAGAAGATGATCAAAGGGTCCAGACTCTCTGTATGAGATGAGCAGGTTCCAAAGATCTAAAACACAGATTTAGCATGCCAATGATAGAGGGCATGTCCATCAAGTATGGTGATTATCACGTGTACAATGTTTCATTTTCATGAATGAGCTAACTCAGCAGAAAATACTTTAAAATATAAAACCTGTAGGGTCAGAAGGAAGAGTTGAAGAATCAAAAGGGGGGGAGATATTAAAGGAGGAAGATGGCACAAGAGGTCAACATGCTAGCATAGGAGATCCAAGCTTGCAGGGAATTCTGGGAAACAAGCACATTCAGATGAAAGCAGAACCACAGAAGAGACGTGTGAAGGAGTTAGGTGAAGCTAACCCACCAGCCACTACAGGAGGCTGTCACTGTTAAAGATTGCCAGCAGTCTAAAAATAAACTGGATGCAGGTCAACCAGAGGTAAGAAAGAACCAGCTGACACTCTGAGGCTCCTCCCTCTCCCTGGCAGACATTTCTGACTATGATGTTTTTCTCAGTGCAATGGCCGTTCCTTAATCTCCTGCATTGTATGCAAGTTCTTTTGGACATGACTAATTCCCACACGGTGTTGATAATGCTGGGAAATAGAGTTCCCACACTGAACAAATTCTATAAGCACACCCCAACATCCCTTCCAGCTGTGCACAGGGCCAAGCAAGGATGTTACATTGAAGCCTGCATAAGAGCATGGAACTCTACAGAGAACCATGAGACCTGCTCATAGACAAGAAAATGAACAAAACATGGCATCTCAGTTATACTGTGGTCAGCTGAGGCCTTTGGTACTGATGCTGAGGGATGTGGAAAACTGGGAACTGAAGGGAAAAGAGCCATCACTTTCTTTGCCTTTTCCTTTCATAGACTCATAGGCAAGCTGTTTCCCTACACTGTACTTTAGATATTTATTCATCAGAAAATTAAGAAAAATGGAAGGCAGGACTTAGCTGATTCCTAAAAAAACTTCTCCCAGGAGAAACAGTCGTTAACTTTATCATTCTTTGTCATCTATGAAATTCTATGGTTATTTTTACTGTAAAACCATTTAATATTAAGGCATTTTTTCATATAATTTATTAAAGTGTTCTCTTAGCTTTTCTAAGATTACTCAAGGCATGGAGCTTCTCCACTGCTGTTTCCTCATACATATGCATGCAGAGTGATGTTATGAGCTGCCCTCAGAGAGAAAACAATGGTAACTATTTGTGTCTGTAAGGAATTTTGAAGTTAATAAAGCATCTTCAGATAGGTTTTCATATTTGAGCCTTAAGCAAACTAACAAAGTAAGCAAGGCAAATGTCATAATTACTATGTTCGTGGAGGGAGAAACGTCATCTCTGGGGATTTTAATAGCACGGTGTCCCCAGGGATCTTTCAGTTCATCAAGTATGATGTAATAGAAAATACATGGCCCATTGTAGCTTCTGGGTCAGAAGATGAGTTTCCCAAAAGTTAGACAGTTTGCTGCATTTAATCCAGACTTCATTGCCTGACAATTTCTGTGAGCAACACACACATCTTAAGGTCCTTCTGAAAAGAGAATGTATTTTAGTAAAAGCAAGGCTTGCATTTGAAGAACACCTACATCAATCATTAACCTTGTGGCTACAGGAACAGTATTTAATCTATCTAGGGTTTACAAGTGCTTCCAATTTTTAAAAAGTAGAGCCGGTTTTTGCAAGCTTGCAAGACTGCAGACATTGCAGCGTGCAGTGCACGTCCTTAGAATGCCTGGAGCAAATCCAGGTGAATAACAAGAGCTCCACAGATGCCTTGTTGCTGCTATAATTGCAGGGGATTCCTCATGGCTGAAGACAAATCCTTCCCTAACCTCTCTCGTTTTTACCCACTTTCACTCGCTCTACCAAAATCTACTCAGATCCTGTTCTCAAACTGTTTCATATTTCAATCTTCTTCATTTAACTCACTCTATATTAGTGACTACACACGATATTTTATATGCTACAGTAAACATCACATGAAAACTTAAGAACTGTTGTGTTCCTTATCTCACAGAGTTTACAGTTGTGTGGGCAGTAGTCCACCTGCCATTAAACCCAGAGAGAGTTGCACACTTACAAATGATAAGATATGCCAAGAATGCGGAGCCAGGATATGACATGGAAAGCTGAGTCTCAGTGGGGTGGCGAAAGATAATCTCTTTGGAATGACATTTAAGCATGAGCATGAAAGATCAGAAAGAGCTAATCCTGTGCAGAAGAAAAACAGCTCTCACAAAGAACTGGAGGACTGGAGCCTAACAGGCAAGAAGGGCGTGGTGCACATTGAAGTTGGGGAAGTTGGCACCATCCCGACACTGTGGGGCATGTGATGTGCCTAGGGTTCCCCCAAAATCAAATCCTATTAAAAGTTTCAGCACCCATAATTTATTTATAAATAGAGGAGTAAACTAAGCCAGTACAGGGTGTGTTGAAAAAGTTACCTCTGGGCCACTTGCATCTTAATCTCCATGGCAACTCTGAGATACAATACAAATAAAGCAGGCACCCAGGAGGCTAAGAAACTGGGCTCCTCGTTAATAAATCCCTATGCTCTAATTCTCTGGAACCGATAGATTGTCCCATGCAGGATCAACACACTAGTGGGGGGGGGGGAACAGGGTTGGGGCTGTGGAGATCAGCAATGGACTTGCCTTGCAAAGTGGAATGGCCTGATTTGAATACTCAGAACCCACCGCTTAAAAAAAAATGAGCTTGATGTCTCAAGGAGGCAGAGATAAGCAAATCTTTGACTTGTTAGCCAGTCAGCCCATCCTACTTGGCAAGTCACAAGCCAGTGAGAGACACTATTTCAAAAAAAAAAAAAAACTGGATGAGGAAGCAGGGTTAGGTTAAATAACTAAGGATATATGAAAAGAAAAAGCCTATGGAAACCTACTCTTCTTTAAAAAAAAATTATTTATTTATTGTGTACACAGTGTTCTGCCTGTATGTCTACCTGCAGGCCAGAAGAGGGCAGCCAGCTCTCATTACAAATGTTTGTGAGCAACATATGGTTGCTAGGAATTGAACTCAAGACCTCTGGAAGAGCAGCCAGTGCTCTTCACCTCTGAGCCATCTCTCCAGCCCAGAACTTACTATTTTTTGAGCTAACATAAAAATATAAGTAAGCAAGAAAACAAACACATAGCAGTAGTGGTTTGAACAGAGGTGCCTGCATAACTAGACAATACTTCTGTAGGCAGACATGGATAATTAAATGAAAAATCTCGATAACAGGAGTGTGCTACCCCTCTCCATGAGCTGTTGGTCAGAGATGCCCAGAGAACCCAAAAACAATAAAAGCTATTTCCATTGCTCTTGGCTGCCCAGAATAAGTAAATAGAAAGATCTTATTGCTGAAGACACAATATACTTTGGTTGTAGAGAACAGAAAAATCAAACTAAACTACACTGGGAAACTCATAGTGCTGGAAGTGCTATGCAGGCTGCAAAGGGAGAAAAATAATCAAGGGACTTAGCCACTGTTGGGCCCTGTGTTATAACACTGACCTACAAGAAAATGTACCTACTAGTGCAAGAGCACCTTAAATTGTTATTGAAGTAAATAATCCCTTTCTGATTGGCTTTCAGGCCTGTGCCATAGGAGGGAATTCTTACTGGGTATGGGCCCTAAAAGAAAATGTACTGCTATTGTTTTGCTAAACGGACTTTTTTTAACTGTCTTCTAAATATTTATGTTCATGCTCATATATTAGTGTTGCTCTCACTCTTGATCAGAGAAGCATCTTATCACAGTTGGAACAGCCAATACACAAATTCATAACCAGTCGGAAGGTTGGGAAGTGACTGTTGAATCCTCAACCTTCCATGAGACAACCCTAAATGGAAGCCTTCAAGGTTCAGGAAACAAGACTGAGAAAATAGCAAAGGAGTGTAAGAATTAGAAAGTGGAGAGGAGAGATGTGGCCATTGTACTCAGGAACTCATAGCAGCTATGGTTACAAGCACAAGACTTGAACAAGAACAAGCCAGTCAGCATTATACTGTGGATATGGGAAAAGCTTATAAAGCTCCACCTTTAGCTGTTATTGGCAATTGATGACTTCTGAAGAAGAGGAAGCATGCTTAGGCATGTCCTGCTGGTTGACTACCTATGCGCTAGTGGCTGATCTTAGAACCATGTGCGTTCAGACATCATTAAGTTTATAAAACTCTTGAAAACAGAAGAGAACGTGAAGGTAGGAGGGTGACCCCAAGGGGAGGTAGGAATCAATATGTTTAAGAAACACTGTATACATGTATTAAATTCTCAATGAATAAATTAATAATAGTCTTTTGTAAGGTGGGTGGCATCCGAGAGAAGCAATGGCTGAGGCTGTTTTTTATAAGATCTTTGAGAACACAGAACACACAGTTTATATGTAACTCTTTCACTAGCCATGGTAATGGCCAGTGCTGTTTACAACCTGACTTCTGAATCAATGTGGTTAGTGGGTGTCCAGGACAAAAAGCATATGATGAACCCTAATTAATTAAGTCATGGAAGATTGGCTTAAAATTTTTATCTTTGAAAGATTTATTATTGCTTTCTATTAACTCATTTAAGTGGCCTGATACTGCATGGTCCACATGTGTTTTCAGGGAGTTAACTCAAAACTATATATAGGAATATTTTGAAAACAATGCAGCCATCACAAGAGACCATCAATTCCCCTTTATCCCTGAGATGAATATCACAGCAAGTAATGAAGAGTGTACAAGCATGGGCTGTATAATCCACCATCATCAGACAGGGTCTGGGCTTTGGTGTAGGGATAAGTCCCACCCCTTAGGGGGCGTGTTCGCCTCAGGCTAAAGTTTGCCTAAAAATTTGGTGGCGTACTGACTGGGAGAAGATCTTCACCACCCCCGCAACAGACAAAGGTCTGATCTCCAAAATATATAAAGAACTCAAGAAACTAGACGTTAAAATGCTAATTAACCCAATTAAAAAATGGGGCACTGACCTGAACAGAGAATTCTCAACAGATGAAATTCAAATGGCTAAAAGACACTTAAGGATATGCTCAACCTCCTTAGCGATCAGGGAAATGCAAATCAAAACAACTTTGAGATATCATCTTACACCTGTCAGAATGGCTAAAATCAAAAACACCAATGATATCCTTTGCTGGAGAGGTTGTGGAGAAAGGGGTACCCTCATCCATTGCTGGTGGGAATGCAAACTTGTGCAACCACTTTGGAAAGCAGTGTGGCGGTTTCTCAGGAAATTCGGGATCAACCTACCCCTGGACCCAGCAATGCCACTCTTGGGAATATACCCAAGAGAGGCCCGATCATATGACAGGGGCATTTGTTCAACTATGTTCATAGCAGCATTATTTGTAATAGCCAGAACCTGGAAACAACCTAGATGTCCTTCAATGGAAGAATGGATGAAGAAAGTGTGGAATATATACACATTAGAATACTACTCAGCGGTAAAAAACAATGACTTCTCGAATTTTGCATGCAAATGGATGGAAATAGAACACACTATCCTGAGTGAGGTAACCCAGACCCAAAAAGATGAACTTGGGATGTACTCACTCATAATTGGTTTCTAGAGATAAATAAAGGTCAGTGAGTCTATAATTTGATCTCCTAAAGAAGCTAAATAAGAAGGTGATCCCAAAGAAAAACATATAGCTATCCTCCTGATTATGGGAAGTAGACAAGATTGCCGGGCAAAAAATGGGATCTTGGGGGGGGGGGGGAGGGAGGTAAGGGGAGATGGGGAGAGAAAAGTGAGAAGGGGAGGTTGGGGGGAACTTGGGAAACGGGATGTTTGGGATAAAGGAAGGTCGGATAGGGGAGCAGGGAAGCACACATCTTAATTAAGGGAGCCATCTTAGGGTTGGCAAGAGATTTGGTGCTCCCAGGTGCCCAGGGCGATGTCCCCAGTTAGTTCCTGGGGCAGCTGAGGACAGAGAACCTGAAATGACCCTATCCTATAGCCATACTGATTAATATCTTGCATATCACCATAGAACCTTCATCTGGAGATGGATGGAGATAGAGACAGAGACCCACACTGGAGCACTGGACTGAGCTCCCAATGTCCCAAGGAGGAGCAGAAGGAGGGAAAATATGAGCAAAGAAGTCAGGACCACGAGGGGTGCACCCACCCACGGAGACAGTGGGGCTGATCTATTGTGAGCTCACCAAGGCCAGCTGGACTACGACTGAAAAACCATGGGATAAAACCGGACTCTCTGAATATGGCGGACAATGAGGGCTGCTGAGAAGCCAAGGACAATGCCACTGGGTTTTGATCCTACTTCATGTTCTGGCTTTGTGGGAGCCTAGCCAGTTTGGATGTCCACCTTCCTAGACCTGGATGGAGCGGGGAGGACTTTGGACTTTCCACAGGGCAGGGAACCCTGACTGCCCCTCAGACTGGAGAGGGAGGGGGAGAGGAGTGGGGGTGAGGGGGAGAGGAGAGGGAGGAGGGGGGAAAAGGGAGACGGGGAGGGAAATGGGAGG